GATTCTTACTGTAATATGGGGAGATTCTTGTGCTGGAAGGTATCCCTAAGATGGGGATAAAAGGTGAAAAAGGCGCTATCCCATCTGTCGCGATCAGACATCCGCCTCGGGGACATAAAATATCCACGATAGAATTTTGAGAGCGATATTCTTCAGATTGATATCCCTGATGACCACAGACTTTGACCTGGGAAGAATTGCGTAAGATTTCCCGGAGAAAAAGGGTTTCTCGGGCCTGAACTGTTCCTGCCTGGAAAGCCCGCAGCTACGGACAATTCCACGCCGTATTTCATTACTGAAGGGAATCTGAGGGCGGGAGCTTTTTTCGGTCATGTCTACGTTTCGCTAGATGGGCGCTAGTAGGCAATTGGGTCAGTAGGGAGGGGGCCGTATTTGGTTCATTTGGGAGAGTCGACCAGAGGAGCAAGCTCGAAAGGCTTTCATGCTTGATCGGGCAAATTTAATTTTTTTATTTAATTTATCAGGCTAAAAAAGGCCTTGCAAACGCATACTTTCCTAAGAAGGGTCTTTTTCGGTTACGCTCATGTCTGGCTAAGTTGCCGTTGAACCGTAGATTTCTGTTTATTTTGGTAGCGATTACTTTCGGATGAGTCTGCTTCTCCTTTTTATAGTGAGCTCGAGCGTTCTATTCGTCTTACTCTTCCACAAAAATAATTCTATAAAGTTCCATTCCTAGCTAACCTGAGCTCTTTGTTTTCAGTGGCTGCTGCTGGATGACCTATGGCTACCTGAAGAACGACCAAACTGTGCTTGTCGTGACAGCATGTCAAGTTCTGCTCTACTCGATATACTGCGTATTCTATTGGTTTATGAGTAGAGACAAAGTAAGTGGTCATAACAGTTAATCAAACATCAGTCTCCCCCAAGGGCGGGTTTTCAAACAAACACAAAAAGCATGCGAAAGCACATCAAAACACTTCCTTGGTAGGTGTTAGAAGAGTCTTCCCTATCACACGCACATTTCACCCGGGCGGGGATCCAGTTCCACGGCCGACGTTGATTACGTCGCCGCCGTCGGCGTTGTCAACGTTTTCATTACAACCATTGTTTGGATGTGGTCGGGCTACTCGGCCCCGTACAAAGAACAATATGTGCTGGAAGACCCCCCCCCGTTAATGAAAATCTCTCGATTAATCGCCAGAGTTCTCGACTAAATGACCAACTTTTCAGTTATGGATAACTATCAAAGTTGGAATAGTGGTGGCGATGTGCACAACGCTGATTTTGTCGGTGAAATTCTTCGGCATGAAAGTCTTCCATCCACTTGGAATTGTCTGCATGACACTGAATATCGCCGATTTCGCCGCTCCATTGGCTGGACTGGTGAGCTCTTTTATTTTGTCCAATTTAGGCATTGCTAACATTGAGCTGGGCTGTCCAATCTGGCCTTAGA